TAGGGACACTGACCAAGTTTATATTTTAAAAATACAAGTCCGACTCGTGTTCGGGACATGTTTTTTTGTTCTATTCTCTGGTGGTTTTGCTATCTCCCGTTCCAACATATACTTGCCTGCAGCTTGGCCTTAGAACCTACACACGAGTTGGCGAATGCGTGCTATGCTCATGGACACACATCAAGATAAGAAAAAAAAAAAAAAACCGTTTTGCCACGTCAGACATAGACAGTCCAACATGGCTGCCAGACAGCACATGCCCTGCACGAGTAGGACGGCATTGATGACATGGGCATATTCGCACGCATCATATGAAAACGTTTTTTTTTTTTTTTTTAATTGTCGTTGTTTCTATTTTTTTTTCAACTGCGGACTTCCCGATTTCGTTTTTTTGTTTGTTTTCCAAAAATGGTTGCCGCAGGTGCGGCTTCAACGCCCAGCCAATCTTCCTCTCCTCAGCACGTGGTCCCAATGCAGCACCTGCACTCGGTGCCTGCACACGCCGCTGACGACAATGGCAGCTGCAACAAGAAAAAAATAAAATAAAAAAAGAAAAAGAAAAGAAAAGAAAAGAAAAGAACAATGGCAGCTGGGGTGTCATGGGAAGCCAACCATTGGCAGTTATGGCGCAGATGAGGGGAATATCTACACACAACACCTCCGCTACCACGTTCGACCTGTATGTGCAAGGCATAAGAGTCCACGTGCACTCAACACGTAGGTCAGTCGGGTTTCTCTTTTCTTTTTTTTTCTTCTTCTTTTTCCTTTTCCAGGGAATCAGGCCGTTTGTATGAGCACGGGGAACAGTCAGATACATGCAAATTGTTGGACAGTACCTGGAGGCGGAGTTGTGCGGAAGGGACTTCGGATAGCGGGTGGGGATAGGCGGAGGTGCGGGGAGGTCGGCTGGCGGACCCCCCTCACCGGGTAGTGGCACCCTCCGCCGGAAAGCACAAGCCGTAGGGAAAGTTCGCGTGTGCTCGGTGGGACTACGCGCCGAGCTCCAAAACGACCACTTCACCCAAATGGCGGCCGAACAGGTGTTTGGCGAGCTGGTCTTTTTTTTTTTTTTTTAGCTTTATCTTGGATGCCAGAGTTTATCTTTCTTGCATTATATAACAAACAAACCGGGAAACAGGCCCGGCGTCCCTCACATGTATGCAGGCGGCTCCTGGTTATGAGCGAGGCATCACCGGCCAAGCCCATATCAGGGGTCACTGAGTCCCAAAGATGAGTCCCAAAGAAAAAAGGAAACAACTAAGAAATCTGCAACAAACCATAACATGTGCTTCTAATGAACCACACGAATAGCCTAAACTTCTAACACTCTTCACACTAATCATACTCAAATTCTAAATCTAATAAGAACAAGAAGTACGACTTGGAAGTCTGCAAAAATGAACAAAAGAAAACTACTAAAAAGACAACTAAGAAGTCTAGAAAGCAAAACTAAAGCCTGTGCTTTTTTTTTTTTTTTTGACTGAAATACAAAACCATTTTGGCAAATTGAACTATGGCTCAAAAAAGTAGACCCCTTCTACCTCAACAGAAACCAAAAAACGGGAGAACAAAACTAAGTCCAAAGCAGGTAACTGTGATCATTACCCACAGCAGCTAACACTGCAGTTCTATCAGGCAACAAAAAAGGAGGAAAATTGAATCTGTCGCTGAGCTCCCTGAGATGACTGCACTTTGAGCAGGTCAGGAAATCTATCCCAGTGTTGAAGGAAGGGTCTCATTTGGCGGGTTGTTTCCTTCATCCACGAATTTCCGGAAATAACTGGCCAAAAATTAAAAAAAACAAAAAGTCGTCCTCCCACGGCCGGAAAAGCTGCTGACCGGACAAAAGGGTCAGCAAAAAGTGCATTTGGGTAGTGGCCCTCTCAAATGTGTCCCGAAAACTTGTTCGAAACTTTTTTTTTTTTTTTTTTTTTTTTTCTTGCTCGAATTTTGGGATTTACGGTCATGTCTCCATGTGAGTATGCCCTAAGTCTCTTTTCAGAAGGGGTAAAATCACACAACCTACCGGTAGTCCATCATGCACTAAGGGCCCGCTCGACTGCACAACACTCTTCGTGTGTCTCGCTCTTATAATCATCTGAATACGATGCTGCACCGGGTTCAGAAAGTCGTACAAATGCATGTAGAATGTTGTGTTGAGTAGTGCAGCGAGGCCCTACTTCCCTCGTTGTTTTTTACGTCCCTGGTTTTCCTGCTGCGCTGATCTTTTGGGGTGGGGGGGGGGGGGGGGGGGTGTTATGCATTCGCGGTCATTTTCTAGGTCGGGTCATACTCACACTGAGGGGAAAAAAGCTCACTGAGGTTCTGTTGTCAGAATCTGACCGCCACTGCTGTCAGATGCACTCACTGATATCCAAATACGACTTTCTGCCCAAATCCTCTGGTCGCTAGATTCTTTTTCTTTTTTTTTGGCCTTCCTAATCCACTGCTCCGTTTTTTCACATTTTATGATTTTAATCTTTTTTATTTTACGACCTCCTTTTTTTTTTGGGAAAATTTTCGAAATACCCCTGAAGTTTGCGTTTATTTGCGGCTAACCCCTCTGACGGCCGACTTCCCTGTTATGCCCCTCGGGCCTCTGAACTTTTCCGCAGGCCCCTGTCAGCATGGGGCGCAACTTTCCGATATGCCCCTACTGGACCGCCGGTGGCGTTTCGTCGGTCAGTCCTTGAAATGCCCTCACGAGGGGCACTAATCTTTGTGTGATGCCCTTCCACGACTGGCGGCCGAAATTCGAGTTCGAAGTGGTGTGTACTTCGCGTGCCGCCACGAAAAACGGTACAGCAGTTGGTCTTCGAGTTCGCCGCGCCGGGGGTCGCTGCGTCGGAGTGGATACGCCTGCTGTGTGGAGGTGAGCGTGCCCGCGTGTGTGCGTTTGGCCATGCTCATCGCCCTCCTCCCTCATCCTCCACCCATACTCGTCCCTCTCCCCTCTTCTCGTCCAACCTCCATCGTCTATCCTCATCCATCGTCGTCATAGTCCTTGTCCTCCCTACTCGTCTTCCCTGCTCTTCCCTTGTTCCCCCCTCCAAGTTTGTCCTCGTCTCACCCCTCCCTTTCCTTCTCCTCGATTGTCGACCTTTCCGTGTTCAACTTCTGGATCCATTTTCGTACCATTGCACTTGTGGAAATCGCGGATGTACACTGGATACACTAGAAATGTTCCTCTTCCCTCCTCTTCTATGGATTTGGGCCTCGGTGTTTCAGCATGCGAGGCATGCGCGGCCTCTGTGGCTTGACATTTGCGGGATGTGCGGTCTGTCGGTCGTGCACAACGTGGTTTTGCTCTCTCTCTCTCTCTCTCTCTCTCTCTCTCTCTCTCTCTCTCTCTGTGTATATATGACAGAAACTTTGTGTTTCTGTCGTGTTTATCTTCTCTTTCTTTCTTTCTCTCTCTCTCTCTCTCTCTCTCTCTCTCTCTCTCTCTCTCT